TGGAGAGAAGTGTCGACCAGCAAGCCTTTGCTCCGCGCCGCCACGGGGCGATGGGCGGCGAGGGCGACGACGACAACGAGATCGACGAGGACGACTACGGCGTCGACGACGGCCCTGATGACGACGGCGATGTCGACGAACACGACGACGGCGATGTCGACGAGGAGGGTGACGACGAGGGCGACGACGGCGATCAAAACGCAGATGACGAAGACATCGACGATGAATACCCCCCTCTGGCGCCCCCTCTCCACCAGAGCCTGCACTCGAGCTGCCTCCCCTCCCCCTCCCCTCCCCCAGTGGAGGCCCGCAGGCTCGCGACCCCCAGCATGAGCGGGCGGGGAGGAGGGAGGAGGCACCTTCGAAGGGCTGCCGGAGGCGAGAAGGGGGGGGGCTCCTGGAGCTCTTCTGCGAGGAGGGCTCCTGGGGACCCGGGAGGAGCAGCAAGGCCGACCTCCCGGCGCCCCCTCTGCGACGGCGCTGGAGCGCCCCCCCGGCGACTGCGCTGGAGCCCCTTCCCGACCCCTCCGAAAAGCGTGCCAGCCTGCGCACAGATTGCGCCTCCCGGCAATCCGAGGGGCCCCTGAGCCCGCTCGGGCTGCCAGGAGCTGCGACGGCACGGGGGTGCGCGCATCGCGGAGCCCTTCTTCGGCGCCGTCCTCTGCCACCGTGGCGTACCGTCGTCGTTGCTTTGATGCCATGGGCCTGGGGCCCTCTTACCCCCCCTCCGCCCTGCGACTGTTTTTGTTGGTCGTCATGAGGTTCGCGGGCTTGCTCCCAAACTAGACTTGCCTGTAAGAAGGCCCTCACTTACAATAACAGAAATGCCCTTGGGCGATCTCCCTCCCGTGTCCCTCCAGTGAGCCCCCATGTGAGAATGACGTGCGAGCTCGCTCGGTTGACGCGTACGTTGCATGACCAGCGCAAGGAAGCCAGCGCTGCTGCAAGGAAAATCGCCAGGGATCTCACTCCAAGGGTGCCCGCTCGCGCATGGCAGCCACCGCGTTGCCAGTGCTGTCGCCAAGGTGCAGGCTAGGACGCTCACTCTGAGCGTGCTTGCTGGCTTGCAGCGCACATCGCGTCGGCAGCGCTGCTGTCAAGAACCTGGCCAGGACACTCACTTCAAGCGTGCCAGCTCGCGACGTGCAGACAACGCAATGCCAACTTTGTTGCCACATGGGGGCACCAGGAAGCTCACTCCGGTCGCTCCCGCTCTCTTGAGGTGCGCACCGCGTGGCCCGCGTACCCGATCGCTGCCGGCAACCATCGCATTGCCAACGTCGCCGTGGCCAGGACGCAGGCCATGAAGTCCACTCCCAATGTGCCCGCTCGCCTGCGGTGTGTATCGCATGACCCGCGCAGCTACCAGTAAGCTCACTCCAAGCGCGCCCGCTGGCGTGCACGCCGCATCGCGTGGCCATCGCAGCTGCCAGGTGCCAGGAACCCAAATGCAAGCAGCCCCATTCGCTTGCTCGAACATCGCGTCGCTAGCGTTGTTGCCAAGAGGCTTCCCGAGAAGCTGGCTCCAAGCGTGTTCGCTCGCGTCTGGCAGGCATCGCGCTGCAAGTGTTGTGGCTAGCATGCCGGCCAGGAGGCCCACACCACACGCGCCCGCTACCATGAAACGCACATCGCGTGGTCAGCGTAGTTGCTGGGAGACCAACTCCGAGCGTGCCCGCTGGCTCGCGGCAGACAATGCGTGACCATCACAGCTGTCAGCAAGTCCACTACGATCTCGCCAGCTCGCCTGAAGCGCACATCGCGTGGCCAGCGCTGCTACGATGAGATTCGCTACAAGCGGCATGCTGGCGGGCGGGGCACATTGCGAACACAGGCAGACCCATGGGCTTGCTTTCATACGTTTCTTTACTGTCCATGTTCGGCTACACGCAAGAGTGACCCTTGGCAAGAGTGACCTTTGGAGCGCGGCTTTGTGAGGACCGCGGGGAAGCCAAACACAGCCGCACAAGACGCTACTATCGTACCGCACTCGGCGATCGGGGGCCCCAGTGGGCGCGCACCAAAGGTCACTCCGGCGAAGGGTCACTTCTACGTGTAGTCGACACGTGCGCCTGCCCACTCTCAGCTTCCGGCCCGCCTGGCCACCCACACAAGCGAAACCATACCCCAGAGGGCTGCTCTCGCGCCCACGTGGCCTTTCTCTACCGACTTTGGGCTCCCAGCCCACCTGTCCTGCGCACACGCGAAACAGAGCTCAGCGTCTTGTCTCTTCTTGGTGCGCATGGTTCCGGCTCGCGCCTGCCCACTTGTCACTCGCAGCCCGCCCGGCCAGCGCCGAAGCCACGACAAGTCCCAGCGGTAATCATTGCTTCAACTTCATGGCGTACGTGCCCACCAACCTCTTTTCGCGCCCCTGGGCGCACACGCGAGTGTTGTTTTGCCCCGCGCAGCGCGAGCAGGAGCGGGAGGAAAGTGGACCACTGACAAAGCAATTCGGCGCCGATGCCACCCCTGGCGAACCCCTCTGAAGCGAAGCGCTACCACAGCACCTCACTGACACCACCCTGCTGTGCACCCCTCCTCGCCCTCTGGCCTCGCCGCCCTGCCCCGCCGCCCGCCGGGCCTCGGCGGGGCGCCGAGGGAAGGGCCGCCGGGAGCGGCGCCGGGCTCGCGGGCGCTCGGCCACCAGAGAAGGGGGGGGGGACGGACCCACTGCGGCGAGGGGCGACGGAGGACGGAGAAGGGACGACGACGACGACGACGACGACGACGACGACGACGACGACGACGACGACGACGACGACGACGACCGACGCTGGACGACGACGACGACGACGACGACGACGACGACGACGACGACGACGACGACGATGACGGCGGCGGCGGCGGCGGCGGCGGTGACGACGATGACGGCAGTGACGACGATTTGATGGCGAACGCAGGGTGCGGGGCAAGGCGGGGCAAAGGGCGACCTCAAGAGAAAACGCGGGTGTGGCAAGGAAGGAAGACCCTTGCTTCCCTCGAGGCCTCCTAGATGCGGTCGGGATTCATGTGGTCGGAGGATTGCGCCGTATCGCCGATACACCGGCAGCGTCGGCAATGCACCAACGACGTCGGCGTCAGCGTCGGAAATGCACCACCGACGTCGGCGTGGACAAAATCGGGGTCCACATCGAGCCACATCATTGGGGGCCTCCGTGGCCGTCTTGGGGCGATCTGAATGGAGCAGTTGGGTCGTATTGGACGTTCTTTGCGTTTCATTTCGACTGGGCGACGAATCGGTGGAGAAAATCCGAAATCTCCGTGCAGAACGCAGCGCTGATGGGTCAACGGTAGCGGCGGTGGTTCCAACCACACAAACTCACTCCTGACCGCTACAGCTGCGATCCAGAGCACGCACATGGCCAAGCTTAAACATATGAGAACTAGAAACCTCGCGCGCTTCGCGCGCGCTCAAGTTCTAGCCACTTACGCAAGACGAATCATTTTCCTCTTGAGGTGAAAATGGCCATGAGGAGTTCGCGAGACAACGTCGGCGCCGCCGAACGGACGGCGACCGGACGAGCTCCTTGCAGCAACCGGGGAGGAGAGGGATGTATGTATTCGTGTTGAATGAGGCCCGCTCGCGCGGGGAGTTGATGGGAGTGCGCGAGACCACGCAGGGCCCATCGTGGAAAGTTGATTACCGAACCCCCCTTCCAACACGGGCGGTCTGCGGGGTCCGCGGATACGATTCCTTCCAGCCCACTGTTTTAATTAAGTACTATAAATGTTTTAAAAAAGGTAGAAATCGGATCCGCCGTTAAAAAAGATCGGACACGGATCCAATTAATCCGAAATCGGATCCGTACGGACGGAAATCGGACCCACCGAAACAAACACCAAAGCCAAATTTGGATCCGCGCGATCTTCATGGGATCCGACTGCTGTTATCTCATACAGGTCTGCTCAAGACTTCGCACCGTCGTTCTGGGCCCAAGAGGAAAACACTTTCGCCCTGGGGATGTCGGCTTGATCGGCTAACTCCTGTAATATCAGGTTGGTCGTTTCTTGCGTCCAGGTACTCCCTGGGAGGCCCTGCTCAAGCCTCGGAATCGTATAGAAGAGTGGCCTTCACGCGGGGCTCCAGGGCCGCCAGCGCCGACGAGACCACGAAGAAGTCGCACTTCTTCGCAAGGCAGGTCGGGTGCTCAGTCTCCAGAATCGCCCCGCCAACTGACCGAGGCCACCAGGATCCAGCTAGCTCGTGCGGCTCCATGTTCCAATCGCCGCCGACCACGAACGGCTCCGTCAAGCCATTGAGGAACTCCTGCAGGCGGCTGAGCAGCTCGACGTTGAGGCCCGACAGGCGCGAAGAGTGTTCCAGGTAGATGCTGACCACCACGAGCACCAGGTCGCCGAAGGCAACACGCCTCGCCAGCACCGTTGGGCCGAAGTCGCCCCAGTCCTGCACAATGGGCGCCACCCCGCGGAACTGGCCTGTCAGGATGGCGACTCCCGATGGCACCTCCTGGGCCTTGTCCCCTGTGCGCCTGCAAGGGCCGAGAGCCGCCTGGAGGCCGTTGCGGTGGCATTATCCTCTGGCGGCCTCCGCCGCGCGGCCTAAGTGAAACCTGGTCTCCTGGATCAAGTGCAGGTCGTCCGAGGCCCCCGTGCCGCGCAACTGCTCCAGCTCCGTCTGGGCTTGGGCCCGCGTTGGTCCGTTGAGCGCGACGATGCTGGCGGCGGCGGCCCGCGGCCTCGGGACGAGCTCCGCCAGCGCAAACTGGCGCACCGCAAGCTTCTCGGGCCTGGCCGCGCTCGCCGCGAGCCCCAGGCCCTCCGCCGTGCTAGAGCACCCGCCGGCTGGCAGCCTCCGCCACGGGTATGGAGACGACCGTGGCCAGCGGGCCCAGGTCAGCAGCCTCGTCTGCCAGGGAGCGGACCACAGACGGCGAAACCTTGGCCCAGGCTCCCAGCGCGGGGGCGCGCCTCTCTGCATGGCCGCGCTCCGCAGCGGGTTTCGGCCCCAGCAGTTCCACGTCCGAGGCTGAGTCGACCTCGCAAACCGTCGATCGGCAGGTGGCTGTCACCCCAGCGCTCCCGCGTAGACGGCACTGGCACCGCGTGCTCCAGCGGGAGCATGGCCTCGACTGCCGCCATCTGACGCATCGTGGCCTCCCAGGCGCTGGAGAAGTTGCCCGCCGTGTGCGCCGTCGGCAGCGCGCGCAGCTGCACAAACAGCCCACGCACGGCGGCGCCCGACACCAGGTGGCGCTCCTGGCTATCCCTGGCCTCCTCAGCCGCCGCCTCCAGGTTGGTGAGCCGCTCCTTCGCCGCCTGCCGCTGCTCCTCTGCCAGCGCCAGCTTCTCCTGCGCCGCCTGCAGCTCGGCCTCGGCGTCGCCGACTGCCTGGTTGGCCTCCTCGAAGGCCCGCCGCGCACTCGCAGCCTTCCGCTCGGCCTTGCTGGCGGAGTTGGCCTCTCGGCCAAGCTTGGCAGCTCGCGAGAGGCCTGCCTCCTTGTCCGCGGCCAAAGACGCGGCCAGCTCGTCGCGCTGAGCTCGAAGGGCCGCCAGCTGCTCTTCCACCAGCCCCGCATGGCCTCCGCCCAGGCTGGGGAAGCCCTCGAAGTACTCGATGTCGCGCTGCAGCGCACCCAGGCGCCCGCTGGCGCTCGACCCCGAGCCCACGCCTGAGCCGCCAGCTCGCTCGGCGGAGCCAGCGTCCGAGCCGCTGCCAGGGGCTGCAGCCCCCGTGGCCGCCGCGCGGGCCTTGCGCCGCCCCTCCTTGCCCTTGCCAGGCCGCACCCAGCCCTGCTCGTCGACCACCGGCTGGGCGGCGGCGTGTCGCACGGCCCAGGGCGGCGCCTTGGCCTGGCAGCCGATGCACGTGCTGCGAGAGCAGTAGTTCCACTGCTTGCACGCACGGCTGGCGCAGACCCAGTACGCACCGTCGCCGCCGCGGCCTCCGCGAGCACCAGCAGCACCGCCAGGAGCCGCGGGAGGCGCCATCCCACGGGCCTGCCGCAGGTCGGACCAGTGCCCTCAATCAACACATCAGTGGCTTGGCCCAAATCGAAGAGACCCTCGCGCTCAGAACGCCGCGGACGACTCGCGGTCGTCGGGCGCTCCATGGCCTTGAGCCCAAATGGCTACGGAACAATGAGGGCATTTTTTTTTATCTGTGTAGGCGCCGCGCGAGCACGGCGGTTTCATGCACGCATTCAAAGCCGCGGGACCAGCGCGGGGTCCCGCGGGGTCCCGCGGCGCCCGCTCACCGCCCGAACACCTCCATGAACGAGGCGCAGAGCTGGGCGACGTCACGGTCGCGGCGCTCTCGATCCAGGCGCGCACGCCGCCGCACGAACGGCTGCTGGCCCGTGGCCTCTGCAGAAACCAGCAGAAGCCTGTGGGCCGAGGCCGTCCAGTCCAGCTTCTCTGCCAGGCAGTCCTCCTGCAGCAGCTCCTCGTCATCGCGCGCGATGCACTGCTGCCCAATCTCGGGATCGGCACCGCCGTCCCCTTGGCTGCCCTGGTCCTCCGTGAGGCCGTCGAGCGTCTCCTGCATCTCGCAACTGCCGATGCTCTGCTCGCTGCCGAGAAGCTGCGCGTGCTGGCCGTCCTTGCCGAGCGTCTTCGTATCGAAGGGCTCCCACTGGCTGTAGACCACCGCGCCGCATGTGCAGCGCAGGCCAGCCGCCGCCTCGCCCATGCCGTGCAACGGCTCCCAGCTTCCCGCACCTGGAATGAAAGCTGGGCTTTCCCTGCGGAGCTGCACGCCGCGCGCCTCCTGCCGCAGCGCCCGCGGCGGCGCCAGCCTCGCGGACTTCTGGAAGCGCCTGAGCTCCCTGCCGCTGGCCGCCGCCCGTGGCGCGACTGCCGAATGTTCAGAAACATTCCGCCGCAGGATGTCCACGTCGGTGAGCGGGGCGGCCGCCACGCCATCGCGGGCCTCGATCTGGGCTCGAAGAACCGGTTCGATGCCCATCCACCGCTGGCGCAGTTCGTCTGCATGAGGGTCAGGGTGATCCCCGTAGCCCAGGTGCCGCAGCAGCTGGTTGAACTCCGACGCCTTGTGCCGCAGCTGCTCCTCGAGTGCTCGAACTTGAGCACGAGCTGCTGCAAGCCCCGCGTCGGCTGCCACCAAGGCCCTCCTCCGTGCTGCCGTCCGCGTCGCTCTCGATCGCCGGCCGCATGCTTCTATGCTGGAATCGCCGCAATGGGGCGACTCCGCCCGCGCCATCCCAAGCGGTCCCGCGCGCGCTGAAGCGGGCGGAACACAGGCTTGAGCCAAAATGGCTACGGAACACACACACACACACAACACAACACACAACACACACAATGAGGGCATTGGATGGCGAACCCTTGGATAAGGAATCCAGGGTCTGAAAGCCGGTGGAGCGTCAATTGAGGTTTGGCCATGGATGTCGCCGCCACCCTCATCAGATAAGGAATCCTCCAAGGTCTGAAGCCTCCTGGGCAGATTCCTTAACGCGCGCTCCCACCGTAACGTATATTTTTCATCTTCCTGCCTCCCTTCTGCTGCCTCGCTTGGTCCTCTTTCTGATCGTTGCCATGTTTCCCCTGGCCCCCACGACGGACACAACGCACGGTAGCAAGCAACTGATGAGGTCCTTCTGCGGTCATGGCCTCAAGAAGACTCGGCAGAGGACTCCGCGCGCCGAAGTGTAGGGCAACGCGACCATCGCGCTGTCTCTTCGACGCCAGAGGTTTGAGAACCGAGCTCACCGCATCTGAGCGGGTGGACGAGACGAATGAGCCCCGATCCTGCACTGGCACCTGCGACCACCTCCTCATGTACCTCCGATAGATGAGAACGGAGCGCACAAACATAACCTGTCAGAATTCCGTGTGGATTTCCTGGATCGGTGCTGGAACACCGTGGCGGCGCCTCCGGCGACGCCCCTGGCGCGCTCCGCGCGCTGGGGTGGGGAGGGCCAAAACGCCGATCCAAGAATTTCGCGCGGACCTCCATCGGTTTACGTCTACGTGTGAATATTATCATGCTCAAATGTTGTGCTCCGCGGCCGCGTGCGAAGCCATGCGGCGTCAGAATACGGTGCAGCCGACTGCGCGGGCGCGCCGGACGGCCAGGTACGGTGAGGGCGGAGATGCGGAGCCCGTTCGATGGGGAAATCGTCCTAGAAGGTTGCCCACGCGCTCGGCGGAACCTGAGGACTCTGGCTAACGATCCTGCTGCTCCTCCTCCTCCTCCTCCTCCTCCTCCTCCTCCTCCTCCTGCTCCACCTCCTCTTCCTTGCCCTGCTGCTCCACCTCCTCCTGCTCCTCCTGCTCCTCCTCCTCCTCCTCCTCCTTCTGCTCCTTCTCCTCCTCCTCCTGTTGCTGCTGCTCCTCCTCCTCCTCTTCCTCCTCCATCTCCTCGTCCTCCTCGTGCACCCACCCCGGCCTCAGACGGGCTTGGTCGGCATAGTGAGGACAGACTTCACGGCCTGCCAGCGAGGAGCGCCGCGGGGTTTCTGGGGCTGGCCGCGCGCGCCGATCGAGAGCCCGTCCTCCTCCCTCTCAGACGTGCTCGCGTCGTGGCAACAGAACTGAAGACTTCTGTTTGGCTGCTCTCGGCCTCCGGGAGCCCGCGCCAGGCCGAAGGGGCCCGTCCAACAACGACTCGGGAGGAGAAGCCGGTCCCGTAGGAACGGGGTCCAGACCTGGGAGCGGGCGTTGCCAAGAATGACGACGTCGGATGCCTCGGTTCCCGCACCCCACTTCCTTCCGCTCCCCGCTCCCCTCTCCCTCTGCCCCCCCCTGTCCCCTCCCTTGCCCTCCCCTCCCCCTCGTCTCCCCCCCCTCTCCCCCCTCTTCTCCGCCTCCCCCCCACTGCTGTCCCTGCGACTACCAGGTTCCGCTGACCGCGGCATAGGCCTGGGCGGGGGCCGATGACGGTCGCGCGGCTCCCGCCAGGAGCAAGGACACAATCCGCAACGAAACCCTCTAAAAAAACTCCCTGCCCTTCCCAACGCTTCCGGCCGCGGGCCAGGGCGGACCCGCCAGCTCCTCGGGCGCTGCCCGCGGCAGCGCTGCCGCGCCCTCGCCCTATTCGCGGCGCCTCGATCGCCGCCCGCTCTCTGCGTGGCTTCCAAGGCCGGCCTCTCGATCGACGACCGCCTGCCTTCCAGTGGAGCTGAAGCCAGACGTCCGCCCGCGTCCGAACACATGCGGGCCTTCCACTGCTCCCCCACCCACCTAGTCCTCCTTCCTCCCTCCGCACAGTCCTCCAAGATTCTTCCTTTCCCGACTCCTCCTTCACCCCTCCCCGCTCTTCTTCCCCCTTTCCGACTTCCTCCTCCCCCTCGTTTCTCGTTTCTCGTTTCGCGCCATCAGTTTGGTGCCCAGGTGGGGACCAAATCCGGGCCCCCCACTCCCTCTCCTTCCTCTTTCTCTTTCCCCCCCCCTCTGCCCTTCCAGAGAGAGGCAGAGGACAGAGAGGAAGGCAGGGCAACGCCCGCCACCGCGCCTGCAGCGGCTGGCGTTTGCGTGTTTCTACGTGCGCGTGTGTGTGTGTGTGTGTGTGTGTGTGTGTGTGTGTGTGTGTGTGTGTGTGTGTGTGTGTGTTTCTGCGTGTGTGAGTGTGAGTGTGAGTGTGAGTGTGTGTGTGTGAGTGAGTGAGTGAGTGGGTGGGTGTGTGAGTGTGAGTGTGAGTGTGAGTGTAAGTGTGAGTGTGTGTGTGTGTGAATGTGTGTGTGTGTGTGCGTGCGTGCGTGCGTGCGTGCGTGCGTGCGTGCGTGCGTCAGTGTGTGTGTGTGTGCGCGTGCGTTTGCGCGTGCCGAACCCCTGCGCCGCCTTTGTCAGATCCGCTTCTTCCGGAGCATTCCTCGAAAGACCCTTGGAGCATCGATCCCCACACGCGCTCGTCATTGGTCCAGGTCCCAACGTCTGCTGCCGCCCCCCGAGCACGGGTACCCCAACGCAGGGGGCCGGGTAGGAACCTGCGTGGCACGCACCCCTTCTGCTGGGCGCCCGCACGAGCGCAGCTGCGGGGACCCGCGCGGCAGCGCAACCAGACAGCACGCACAGAAACACATCGCTCCCGCGTGGTGGAACTCCTCCTCCTCCTCCTCCTCCTCCTCCTCCTTCTCCTCCTCCTCCTCCTCCTCCTCCTCCTCCTCGTCCTCCTCCTCCTCCTCCCCCTCCTCCTCGTCCTCGTCCTCCCCAGACCGGCATGACGGCGGCCGCCACCGAACAAGCAGAGCACACGCCTAGCCCCCCTCCGACGTGGGACTACGGCAGGCTCGTGTCGTAAGGACCACGGCGATAACTAGTTTCTGGCACCCCGCGAAACGATCCAACATCGAGCGATCACGACTTTCCGATAGCGCAGCTGGCTCAATATCGGCCGATTCTGGGCCACTGGCAGAGTTCAACCTTGAACGCCCGCGCTGGGGTCGCTGCAGCGTCGAGACGGCGCGAACCTACTGTAGTGGACCGATGCATGCTACGGCACGGCCGTCGCACCAGGAGTAATTTCTTCTCGCTCCTGAGGTGGAGGGTCAACAACGCATTGGATGCCCTTCTGACGGCGGGCCCGTGCACGGAACCGCGGCCTGGGAGACCAGGCAGCTGCGCTGTGCACATACGCCCCAGGGGCGCATGATGATAAGGAGCGGAGGGACGAGGAGCAGGAGGCGCGGGAGGAGGCGACGGAGCGGGGATGGCAAGAAGGAGGAGGATAAGAAGACCGACGGCGAGGAGGGCAGGGAGGATGAGGATTACGAGGGCGAGGAGAGGGAGGAGGCCTGGCGTGGCCCACCTGGCAGCGCTGGCTCACGCGAAGAGGAAAGCCGCCGCCGCGACCGAGACCAGGCCGACGCCAGACCGGAGCGCACCGCTGTCGTGGAAGGGCACGGTCTGGCAGACGCCCTCCCTGCAATGCGACTTCACCCACGCCGGGTCCTCGAAGGGGACGTTAGGGGGGGACCGGCCCAAGAAGGGACATATCGATGTGGAATCGGCGATACATCGCCGACAGGTCGGCGATGGGGCCTTGATAGCAAATTCGCACGTTCCTGGGCGGGGTGGGCTATCGGACCCTGATCGGCGATGAATGGGCAATCGGAGGTCGATGCATCCCCCCGGCCACCCCCCCCTAACGAACGTTACCCTAGAGTCCTCCATCTCGTCGGACCCGACCCAGCCCGGCGGGTGCTTGACGATGACCTCCTGGGCAAACTCGTCGGACCCGACCCGCAGCACCACCTGAGTGGTGCCGCCTGGGGCGTGGAGCTTGACCGTCTGGACGCTCTGCTCGGCCGCGTTCGCCAGGCTGATGTCGTAGGTGCCCTCGGCCAGCATCACCGCGGAGCCGGGCTTGAGCTCCGCCGACCCCTGCCGATCGCCGTGCCTGCCGGCGGCCTTGTCGGAGGAGGGCCAGTCGAGACAGAGGGCGGCCCTCCCTGGCGGCGCTGCGTTTCCGTTTTGGGCCTCCCAGAGGCCTCACATCGCCACGGATGGATCCGCCTCGAGGAACAGGTGAGGATCGACCCCAGGAGAAGTCCGGGGACCGATCTTCAGCGGATTTGGGCAGGGCGGGAAGAGCCGCGGATGTCTCAACTCTCGCCCTCCTCCGACCTTGATTTTCAAGATGCCTTGCTGGTCGCCGGCGTAGGCGTCGATGATCGCAACCTGCGCCTTCAGAGGAACAAGCGACTGCATAAGCATAAGCATAAGCATAAGCTTCTGGAGGTGCGCGAGGATTCCTTGCATCGGCGCTGGACCCCCTGGACGGCGTCGCCCCTGGACCGCTTCGCGCAGACCTCCGAAATTTAATGTTTATGCAGCCTATTCTTCTTCGAGCCTTGTCACTGCTGACTGGTCCGAAAGTGTGAGAGGCGAAGGTGGCGGACATGGTGCCGTTGCCCTTCTTGTACGGGACGAGCACCAGCGAGGAGGCGACGAATGGCAAACGCGTTGCATGGAAGGTTCCCACGCTGAGCCCCCCCAGCCGGAAGTCTATGCGCTCGCCGTCCTGCAGGTCCAGCACGAGGTCCTTGCACTGCTTGTATCCCAGGGGCTCCTCGGTGAGCTTGGCCTTGTTGTTGACGGTGTAGATGCTGAGGGGCTTGCTTTCGGCGTACGCGTTGCAGATAGTCAGGTTGTGCAGGCCCTCGCTCACCTGCAGACCCGCGGCGGCGCGAGCGGCGACCAGCAGCGCTGTGGCTCGGAGGCAGGCCATCGTGTGGGCCGGCCGCGCGAACGCGTAACCTATATGCACGATGCAGTGGGATCGGGAACGACTGTGCATTCGAGGCAGCACAACCAATAATGGCAACGGAGGAGGAGGTTGGCAGGAAATCCAAACATGCTCACAGAGGTTGGTAGGTAGTAGGGGTTATCTGGTGGGTTTTGTGCGTGTGTTGACTTCATTCGTACGTATAGCCGTTTTTGCTCTGCAGCGCCCAGTACTCACTATCCACGCACAGTTTTGTCAGGTAGTTCAAGCCAGGCGGAGCATACACAACATATAACAGACAGGCTCAAAAGGCATCAGCAGACAGAAGAGGAGGAGGAGAAGGAGAAGGATGAGGAGCAGGATGAGGAGGAGGAGGATTTCAGTTCAGTTCAGTTCGGTTCAGTCAGCCCGCGGAGGTCTGGACAAATGCAGGCGTCGCATGATCTCGTGCCTCTGGGCGTCGCATGACGACAATTATGGAGATCCACTCTCTGCGGGACGGCCCATGACCTCTCGGACAGCTGTCCGCGCTGCCCCTCTCAGAGGCGATCTGGGAAAACGGGCGCGCAACCCAGGCAGGTACCCCCATGGGGACTAGCGCGCACCTCTTCCCTTGACGACGACCGGCCCCACTCGACGCCTGTCGCCCTCCCTTAGTGGACAGTGCCATCAGCCCGCCATCGGCTGGTGGCGAAGGCGCTCTGCGGCTCAGGGAAAGGCGGGGAGGAGAGCACACAAGCCGCAAGCGCCTCAATGAGGGCATGCATCGCGGGTGTACAGCTACTTTTTTAGCAGCACGTTCTGCAAAAGAAGCGACCTGGGAACATACCCAGCGAGCACACCCGCATCAGGTGCGGCCGCTACGTCCTCTCGAGAACCAAAAACTTGGCAGGGGTGGGGTCCTGGCAACCACTGAATACAGACCAGCCCGTGAAGACCCCGCGGCTCCGCCAGGAAAGGCGAGCCCGAGCCGCTGGACATGCAGGGTGTAGCTAGCCCAGCAGGATGTAGCTTCCGCAGCACAGTTGGCCACTCCGACCACGCCCTCTTGAGACCTTATAACTTATTCCTATCGCCGTGTTTGTGGTTCGCGGGCGCCCTTGAGTCCCGGTAAGACTACTGGGCAGGATGCACCAGGGGCTGCAAGCAGCGATCGTGTGGCGCATGCGGAGTTGCCGGGCACAACAATTATAGTCAACGGCGACGCATACGCGATCACCGCCTACACGCTCATAACCAAGCAAGGGAAGTGTCGAGCCGCGCTTAGCATGAAGGAAATGGGTCCAGGACTTCGGGGCCTTCCCCCAGGACGAACTCTTCCTCCCGAGTTCTTTTCTGACTGTCCCAGGGTCCGTGGATGGCCCTGGGAGCTCGAAGACGGCGAAAAACCTCAGGACCCGTTTCCCTCAGGACCCGTTTCCATCATGGCAAAGATGGAAGCGCCGGATGCAATGACGCTTGGGCCCGCCGGCCGCGCACGCGCGCGCTCCATCGGCGTGGCTTTCCGGCCGGTCGGGCGGGCACTCTGTTGCACACGCCGGTCCGAAGAAGTTCGTTCAGCCGTGAAGCAGGATTGCGTCCGTCGTTTCGCCATGCGCCATACGGGCGTGATCAATTTATTGAAGGCGGACGCGGTTAACGTAGACTGCGGTCTGAGAGGCCAGGAGTGCATACCCGCAGCGACAGACGAGCATTCGAATAGGTCAGAGGGTCTCTGTCGGGCCCAGAAGCACAAACAAGAGCCCCCCTTCCGAACCACTGGCGGCTGTTAGCGCAAAGAAGCAATCTGAGTTGCATGTGACGGTTCCCTGAGCCTGAAAGCGGCCCCCCAGAGGCCGAAACTGGTGAAACACCTGCGTCCTGACGTTTGCAAGACGCTGGAAACGTGGGAGCTTTGTGCAGCGAAACTGGTGAGGGGAGCCGAAAGGACAGGAGGGCTCATGAGGGTGAATTGCGCGTGACCTGTATTCGACGATACAGCGCCGATATATTTGCGATGGGCCCCCGACGGGAGAACCCCGCGTTTCTTGGCAGGTTTGGGCACCCCGATTGGCGAGGAATGGGCGACTCGAGGTCGACGTTTGTTGAGGATGTCGCAGATATCCAACGCCCCCACGGGAGGGCACGTAAATGGAGAGTCGAAACACCGCGGCGGCGCAGGGGTGGTGCTTATTTTCGCAACGACAAACATGCACTATGCACCCCACCCGCGAACGTGAGCGCCCCCGCACACACTGATAAGCTATTGTGGCAGGGGTGGGGGTGGGGGTCATGATTTCGGACCAAGGCCTCCCCCCCTGGGCTAGGGGTAGACGCTACCCCCCGCGCAGACGAAAGGGAGGGCTAGCAAAGGAGAGGGATCACGAATCGGGCTCAAGTGGCTGATATTCCTGGCGCCCCCCTGCGCCAGAAGCGGACGCGTGTCCCTGGCGGCGGGGCCGAAACCAGCTGCGTGATCCCCACCACCTTGTCTTTGGGTCACAGCTCGGGTCTCCGGCGGCCGTGCGAGACGATCGGGGCCGCCCCGGGACGCCGCCAGCGAGGCGCAGCTGCTGGAGCTGCTCTCGAGGCAGGGAGACCGCCCAGAACCGACGAGGACATCCGAACACCTGGCACCTCCAACCTCGACCCCCCAGCCGTTCGTCCGCCCCGATCGACGCGCCCTCCGAGCAGGGAACATTGACGCGGGGCCCGGCTCGGTGGGGAAAGCAGTGAGCTGAAATCGGCGATACATCGCCGCTGTGTCGGCGATATGCCCCAGATAGCCGATCCGCACGGGCCTTGGCGGGACAAGATATCGGGCAGCCATTGGCGATGCATGGGCGATCGGGGGTCGATGCGTACCTCCCTGAGCCCATCCTGTGGCTCCAAGCGGGACCCCAGGGAAAGGGACTTTTGAGACGGGCGATGCCGATGGCTCGAGTCCGCTCGGCTTGGCCCGCAAGGTCGTCGCACGACACTCTCGCTCGCGCATCGAAGTCTCAGAGGCAACGCCGCGGTCTCAGAAGTCCCTTTCGCTGGCGTCCCTGTAGGAAACGCATACGACTATCCCCCCTGACATTGCCTCTGAGCTCTCCGGGGATCTTCTGACCCGGGTCAATCCAGACCCGGGTCAGCAGGAAACCAAAAACTGCAATGCAGGAAAAAGAAAAACTGCAACGCAGGTCTTCGCAAACCCGGGTCAGCCAATATGCGCGGCCGCCTCGCGGCCACGAGCGGCTCGCTAACCCGGGTCAGCCAGAGGGGGTCTTCGCAGGATCCTGCAGGATCCGGCGCCCTGGTTGACCCCCGTCTGCACTGACCCCCGTCTCGAGGCTCTCGAGCTCTCCGGCCTGGGCGCTCGCCGGTTCGCCGGCGCGCGCGGGGGGGCCGCCTCGCCGCGGAACCGCGCCACGCGATCCGGGCTGTGGTGGGGGAAGGCCTCCCCTCCTCTTGGCCACCAGGTGGGAGGGAAAGGTGGAGAGGAGGAGGAAGAGGACGAGAGCGAAGGAGGAGGAGGAGGAGGAGGAGGACGACGACGAATGAGGAGGAGGACGACGGAGGAGGAGGACCAGGATGACGGATGAGGACGAGGGGGAGGAGGAGGAGCAGGAGAAGGAGGCGGACGACGACGAGGGGCGAAACAGGAGCGGGGGGGGGGGCGAAAATATGAGAGGGAACAGGGTGAGGAGGACGAGGAAGAGGACGGAAGAAGAGAAGAGGAGGAGGAGGAGGAAATGAAGAACAACGGAAGAGGAGGAAGAAGAAGAGGACGAAAACAAAATAATTCTTGATAATAAAGAACGGGCAAACACACGAACAATTTTGGCAGAAACTGTTCTGGGGCCCCCTCATTTGGATCCGTCCCTAGATGGCTTGATCCGAATACAATCGCCTTGTTCACCGAAGCCTCGCCCGTCGCCTCCAGGGGTTGCAGAATCTATGCTTTCGCTTGAGCGGGAAGGCGGGGTCGGGCAAGGGATAAAACTGTTCCTGGGCGAGGGCCACGTGAACTTTTTCCGCTGCTTCGTTTCGCAGGCCCTACGAACCTTCTTGGCCGATGTAATGTGCGTTCTGGCCATGCACACTTTTTCGGGCCCCTGTCTGGAAGGCCACACAGGGCGCTTCCTGATCGGGCCAAGGGCGGGGGCGACGAGCTGGGAAGAGGAGCGGGGAGGCCGTGCGATCGTCGCCCGCGGGACTTCTGGCCACGCTCCCCCCTCCCTGGAGCGCGGGCGGAAGACCCGCTGCGCGGGTTGAGTGGAGGGCCGCGCCGAAGGCAGGCGGACCTCCGAAGCAGGGAGGGGCAGGGCGAAGGCTCACTTCCAGGACGGGAATAGTCTCATGATGATGTTGGCTCGGGGTACTTTCCAGGACTCTTCCAGAGTATCGAGCGGCCCGCATTGCTGCAGCCCTGGTAGAACATCTGGAAATCCGGGGAATCCTGAAGACCACGGAAATCTTAGAAGGTATCATTACTCCTCTGATTTATTTTCCCCTCCAAAGGTTTACCTTTGTTTGTTTGATGTCTGTTCCGAGAGAATGTGGGTGTCCCAAAAGGGGGTCCAGCTGAAAGGGGGTGGTGCAATAGACTTGGGGCAATTGTATTGCAAGTAATTCATTGCACGCGAAAGTCCAGCAATACATTTGCGCCCCGGAATGTATTGCACACCTCAAATGTATTGCAACCCCACAAAACTATTGCACCAAATCTATTGCACCCCCCCTTGTCGCTGGACCCCCTTTTGGGTCAACCCGAGAGACGGGTCATGTCGACAGCTCCGGGGCCCCACGACGCATTGAAGCGGAGCTTTGATAAAGGTCAGGGCATCGGGGCCCCTCCCTCCTGGAGGACAAGGACAAGGAACGAGGGACGGTGGGGGGGCACTCCTCCCTACTCATCCCTCGTCTTCCTGCCTCCTCCTGCGTACTATTCCATTGATCGTCTTCTATATCGCAGCTCCTGGCGGAGCACCATGTGCTCTAAGAGTGAAACGGGAGGGGGAGGAGGGGGAGGAGGAGGAGGAGGAGGAGGAGGAGAAAATATGGGGGAATTTCGTTTGGAGCCGCTTGCGAAAGCGTCAATCAAGATTCTACGGGCACTGGGACAGGACTCTGTGGTGACCCCTTGTCCTTGCCCATTTGAACCCACCCACCCACCTTCCACCCCAATCGTCTCCATCGGGGCACGACACCTCTCCGAACCGATTGGGGGGGTCTGCTTGCCCGGCTCCCCAGAATGTGAGCTTGGGAGGAAGCCTCAGGTGCTCTCTATCCTCCCTCCCCCTCGCCCTCGCTGTTTCCGCATCCGCAAAAGCCGCCCCCCGCCTCCCTCAGGGCCTCCCCTTCCAGCCACCACCTCGGAGCACAACCCTCTGATCCTCAGCCTGCTCATCCTCAGCCTCTCATCCTGGACCTCTCGCTGTCCGGAAGTGCTCCGCCTCTCCACCTCCCACCTTCCCTATCAGCGCTATCAACGCGGCTGAATCACGAATCGAGCCTGCCGAACCTGGAAAGGCATTCCGCTCAAGACGTGCGGCAAGAGAGGGAGAGGGAGGGAGAAAGGAGGCTCGATACCTTCCCCAGTCCACCTCTCACCTCCTCACTCCCCCCTCCCTCCTCCTCCTCCTCCTCCTCCTCCTCCTCCTCCTCCTCCTCCTCCTCCTTTTCCTCCTCCTTTTCCTCCTCCTCCTCCTCCTCCTCCTCCCCGCCCTGCCTGCGTGCCCCCTGCCCCCTCCTCGCAGGGCCCCTGGAGCCAGGGACTCCCTAATCATGGAGGTCCCTGCCGCCATTGAGGCCTTCGAGACATGCCCGAGGTGAGGGCCAATACTGTCTTTTCCCACCCACCCCCCTCGGCATTCGATCCTGCAGCCTCGATCCTCCCCTCCCTGGCGAGGCCCTCCCTCACTAGAGCCACAAACGTCGGCACAACCATACACTCTCGGAGGTCCGCGCGGGCTTATTGGACCAGCGCTGGACCCCCCTCTCCCTGGAAGACGCGCGTCGTATCAACAACCCCCGACGCCGACACGCCCCGAAGAATCGGCGGACGCAGCGCGCAGACGCATGTAGCCCATTCTGGAGACCTCAAGGACACCGACCCCGCCCCGTGTGCTGGCAAAGCACGATGTCATGCTGCGACTGCCTCAGGATGCGTGTCAACTCGTTCGGGAACATCCGGCTGCCCTCGTCTCTGGAACCCGCGCGGAGCAATAAGAAGACCGGGAAGTCGTGGAACGTATCATTGCCACGGCTTCTCGCTCCTTCGATGACGTGCTCCTGTTCCTCCCTTTCCTCCCGTTCCTACTCCTTATCCTCCTCTTGGTGTTGCTGCTTCACCCACCGTTCCTGCTCCTCCCGCCAGCCCTCCAAATGCGTCTGGGTCTTGCTTGGGCTACCTTGGGACCCTCTTGGGAACTACATGTTGGCTCTTTTCTGAACTGATCTGACCAACCTCATCCGCGTCCAGCCCTCGATCTCGAATCCGGAAAATCATGGGGGGCCCTGAGTCAAGGGGCCCTGAGGGCTTCCTTGGGCCTGTCGGGTCCTCCGGCACATGCCCTCAGCAGGAGAGCCCCCCGAGACCACTCGACACGTTTGCCATCAATCGAAATGTAGACAAACTTGTCACACCATTGTCTCTGTCATGGAACATTGGTTGTCTCGAATCGGTTGTGGCCACTCGTTCGCCAATCCTCCGGCCGTTGGAAATACATATGGTATCAGGAATGTTGCTTGACTTTGAACCCTGGCGATGCTTGGAGCGCCGATATCGGCACCTAATCGCATCGACGTCCTTCGACACCGATGTCGATGATGATGGAGACTGCGCGAGATCCCTTCGACAAGGCTGTAAACTTGTACCACTCCGACGGCTCGCACTCGTACCACTTCTCCCGCTTTCCCCGTTTGTTGTTCATATAGCAATTGGGCGAAAGCGGCCAATGAGACTCCCTGTGACTCTGACTCGTACGCCCGCGCCTCTGGATTTGATGAGCCAGTTTGACGCTGGATGGGCCTTTGCGTTTGCAGAATGTGGAATCGCGTGTTCTGTGAACTGCGCAATTCGTGGATCAGCATGTTGTTCTTCAGCCCTCCCTGGAGGCTTCTGCTAGTTTCATCGCAAGCGCTGCTTCTCAAACTCAAGTGTTTGGAATTTGGCGTCCTGTATGGCGTATGGCCCTACGCGTTTGTCTGCGCCGCTTGCTATCATCATGCGTGTTTGGAAACCAGCGCTCGATGCTCTTACCTTATATCCAGTCTTTGTGCTCGCCAGGGTTTATAGCACAACAGCTGCAGTTAAACAGTGTGCTGCGTAACATCAATCCTCCCTGCATTCAGGCACTGGGCATTGACAACCGCGTTTCGTGATTCGTCTCATCCGGGAATGTACTCTTTGAAATGGACATGTGTTGTCCTGGCGCTCGACGTGACGGATAGAACACCATGATCCGACTTGCACCGATTGGATGTCATCTAGCCTGGACTTGCATCCGATCCGATGGAACTGGATGTGTTGCCTGGCGTGTTGGCAGACGAAATAATGACACAACGCCAATGGGTGCTGTCACTACTGTCACGAAGTTATGCGTATAACTACAATTGCGCTAGAACAAGCATTTTGCACAAGCCAATGTCAATGGAGTGTCCGTTTACAGCTGTTCGGCCGCGGTCTCCGCTCGCCCTTGGGAACCACTTCTTGAATGCCTAAATGACAACCATTGGAGCGCGGCTGATGTGTGACATGCTTTCAAGCGTGCACCCATCGCTGGCGGCAATCATGTATAATGAACGGGTTACAATGTTGCCCTTACCGCGGACATGCAACGTTAGCGTGGAATGGTCGGCACACATCAGCTACATAATTGCCGTGTTCAAGCGCATGGCGTGCGGGAAAACGATCGCTGTATACGCTGCTTGGAGTGAGCCAAGCTGCCGTCGCCGGACCGTGGAAAGGGGGGGAGGAAAGCACGCACACTGTTCAAGTCACAATCGCGCGACGACTACCTGCGAGATCCATCAAGCGAGGCGCGTGAACACGCCTGGACACCCCCCCGACGCTATCCTTCAGAGACTTGTTATTCCACAAGACATACGGTCAGGAACTTTTGCCGAGTGTCGCGGCGGCGGCCCCTGCGACACGCTGTGCCTTGCAGCCTGATCGCGTGCCGCTTTGCCTCGCTGGTCGCGCCCTGCTGGTCGAGCTGCAGGCCCCAGCACCTGTGCGGCTTCGCCAACCAGCGCCAGCTATGGACGAGCCGGCAACGGAGGGCTGGTCATCAGCCGCCGACGGGGACGCCACGGCTGCTGTCCAGGGCCGCTTCGAGGAGAGTTTCTGGGTTCAGCGTGTGTTCGCATTGGAGGATCTCGAGGCCCGCAAGGCAAACCACGGGCACTGCCCCAGAGGCCCTCGCGTGCGGCGGCGCTGGACGCAGGCGCTGCGGTAGCGGCGGCGGCGAGGGCGGCCCGGTGGAGCAGAGGCTGGCGCGCGCGGCGCCACGTCCCAGGGCGGCCGCCGCAATGAGGGCTGGGAGCGCCTCACGTGTCGCGTGCACTGGATGGGCGCCGCACCTGCCCCCGCGGGCGGCCAGCCTGCTGATCTTGCAGCTCCGTGCGCTGTGGGCCGCGAAGCGGCGTGGCGGACAGCTGTGCGGCGGCGCCTGCTGGAGCGCCCGGGCCCGTCCGACTAACGAACTGATTAGTTGCCCGACGGCTGCCCTGGGCAGCCGCTGTCCCGCGTGCACGCCTGGCGCGCTGATTTCGATCCTCCCCCTCCTCTGGTTCCTCCTCCTCCTCCTCCTCCTCCTCCTCCTCCTCCTCCTCCTCCTCCTCCTCCTCCTCCTCCGGCTCCTCCTCCGGCTCCTCCTCGAGCTCCTCCGCGCTCTGTTTGTCACCCGTTCTCGCCGCTGGTCCCCCCCCTTCTGGATGGCCAAGAAAGAGTGTCGCTCTGCCTCGCGGGACGGCAGGCTGAGAAAAGCTTGGAGCGTTGACGCTTGGGGACTGGGACATGCTCAGCGTGCCGCGCCGAACTGTGGTGGGCCAACACCCGCGGCGCGGCACGCTCAGCGAACGCTCCTGACCGTAACGGCCTCAGGACTTGGCGCTGCATATTTGAATCGGCTTTCCTCCTCCTCCTCCTTATCATCTTCCTCCTCCTTCTCCTCTTCTCCTCCGCTTCCTCCTCCGCCTCCGCCTCCCAACCAACACCGGGCGGGGGCGGGCGGGCGGAGGGAGGAGGGAGAAGAGGAGGTCGAGGCGCCGATGGCCTGGCTCGAACCCCCGTACCCCCGCACCCCGCCTGCTTGCTGTGAGACGTCATCTTGTACACCTCTGGGAAGTCTGGGTCGTCCTCCCTCATGACCTTTGGGCCCCCCCAGCCTGTGCGGCCGGCAGGCAAACGGAGACGGAGGATACTGGATTGGCGGCAGAGAGATCGAGAGAGAGAGAGGCAGAGCGAGAGAGAGAGAGAGACCGGAAGAGTCAGGAGTAGTAGACAGTGGGGGGGTGGGAGGAGGGGGAGGGGTTGGTCCTGGAGGCGGGGTTTGCGTAATGACGCTTCCCTGTATGGTCTCGGACCCCTGTCTGGCTGTTCCCCTCCACGTCCGAAGCCAAGACGTTGAAAGCAAAGGGTCATTCGGCAGTGCTCTGTTGCTGCCATTACCCGCCGTCGTCTCTTCAAGCCGACATGTTTCTGCGCTGCGTCTTCGCAAACGGCCTCGTCATTTGTCTGATTCCAATACTGCCTCCATTGCTTCTCCCCCCCCTCCACTCCACTCCCATCCCTTCTCCAGCCCTTCAAGTTCCCTTTCTCTCTTCTGTTTCGCTCCACTTCCCTCTCCTCTCTCTCTCCCTCCACCTATCCCTGTCTCCCTTTGACTCCGATCCCAAAGTAGAGGCCTCCCAGATGGGGTCCGAGTAGCTGTGGTCGGAGGATCGCGCCGCACCGCCGATTGCATCGGCGAAGCATTGGCGGGGTGGAGAAACCAGGGCTCCATGTCGAGCCGTACCACCGATGCATCGGCGATGCGTCGAGATCATCCGGCCCTATCTGCTCCAGCCCACTTGGGAGGCCTGGACGGAGGTCGGTCGTGGGGCCGATGGGCCGGAGGAGGAGGAGGAGGAAGAGGAGGAGGAAGCGGAGGAGGAGGCGGAGGAGCAGGAGGATAACGGAGATCGTCTCGGCCCCCAAGGGCCCTTCGGGGCGATTCTGGCATCCCCGGAACGCCAGTGACGAGGCGCAGCTGATGTGAACCATCACGGGCACCAGGGAGGCGGGCCTCCAGGCAGGAGGAGGAGGAGGAGGAGGAGGAGGAGGAGGAGGAGGAGGAAGAATAAGATGCTGAGGAGGAGGAGGAGGAGGGAGGGAGATCACGCGGACCTCGGAACGAATACTCTACGCCCTAGCGGGCTACTCTTCATTCCAAAGTTTCTGTCGCATATCTTTTCGGCGCTGCGTGCTGGGGTCTTTTTGCGCCTGCTGCTTCGCCTGAGTCGGATTTTACCATTTTGCGCATGCCAATCTGACGCTGCGACCCCGGCTGATCCAAGTCGGCCTAACGTCAACAATGAGGAGTGGGAATGGGGAAGGGAAGGAGGGGGGAGAAGGGTTGGAGGCGGCCCGAGAGTCTGAACCATAGTTGGGACGATCGAAAATCGGTCAGGAGGAAGGATAAGGCCAAATCCGTTCAAAATCGGTCCCCGATGCCCTCCCAAGGTCAATCTGGTGCAATTTTTCAACCCAGATCCGTTTCTGACGGTCCTGGGTCCCGAGAACGGCACCAGGAGGCCGAAAAGGGCAAAAAACCTTCTCGGACCCAGAACCTCGAACCTCGCCCTCATGTCCTGCTCGCCGGGACCAGTGCTGGGCCACCTCAGACCCCCAGCCGACTCCAAGGATGGAAGCGGGAGGGAGGGAGGAGAGGAGTGACGAGGGAGGGAAGGGGGAGTGAGAGGGAGGGGGGGAGGAAAGAGGGAGGGAGGGGAGAGGGAGGAAGAGGGCTGGATTTGGAAGCTGAGTAAGCTGTGCGCCTCTTGGCAGAGGCAGGCACGCAGCTCGCAGAACATTAGTCAGGGACAGGGACCTGCTAGGGGGGTAGGTGGACAGGCAATCGAAGGGGAGTGGGAAGGACAGCTCTCAGGGAAGAGGGAGGGAGGGAGTGAGAAGGAGTGGCCTCCAATAGCCCCTCCCGTCGCGAGGCTCCCTCCGAGAGGCCGGCGCCTGCCTGCCGAGAGCGCGCCACGCTTGATGTGGTCGGCGAGGGAGTACCTCGTACCCGAGGGGGGGGGAGGGCGGGCCACGCCGACCGCGCCGCGCGGGTGGGAGGGCCTCCTCCGCCGCCTCCTCCGCCTCCTGCGCCCCCCTCCTCCTTCCTCCCCCCTTTCCTCCTCCTTCCTCCTCCTCCTCCTCCCCTCCCCCTCCTCCTCCCTCCTCCTCCTCCTCCCTCCTCCTCCTCCTCCTCCTCCTCCTCCTCCTCCCCTCCTCCTCCTCCTCCTCCTCCTCCTCCTCCCTCCTCCCTCCTCCTGTCCCTTCCGCTGCCGTCGATGGCCCTCTGGAGCCGTCTTCGGGTTCTCCTGGAGCCCCTTCCGAAATCCTCTCAGGGCCCTGCAGCGCGGCCTCGGAGGGCTCCCAAAGGGCATGTATGCTCTGCTCAGGTGGCGCGCGCGCGCAACTTGTTCTCATCCTGAAAAGAAGTACCCATACCACTACCCTTCCCTCGTTTTCGCCCTTTTGGGGCCTCCTCGGAGGCCTTCGCCGCCACTGCTGGCTTCGCCTCGAAAGTCTGGTCAGAACGCACGCCGGGTGAGGTCCAGGGAGTAGCGGTATAGGTACTGCTTGGTTTTCCCACGGGTTCTGATTTCGCTGAACTGGGTTTGGCCACCACCCTAGGCGATCGACACCTTATCCATGCCCCTGCAGGCCACAGCTCTGCGAAGGGGCGAGGCGGGGTGCGTGGATAAGGTCAAGAGCCCTGGCCTCTGGAGGCACAGCTCTTACCCATGCCCTGCCCCACCCCCTGGCAGCCAAGGCGGGTGAATGTGGATCTCCGCCCCCCCCGCCCCCTCCGAAAGCAGCGCAGCAGAGTCGGCGGCGAGCCCAGGGGGAAGTGAGAAGGGACGGACTTTCTCAGAAGACTCGGAAGCTCCCCGGCGTTCTGATGAGTTTTCGAAGCCTTCCCCGGAGACACAGTAAACCTCTCAGAAGGCCGGAGGCCTTCTGAGAGGCCTTCTGCTTCTCACTTCCACCCCCCGCCGTGCCCGCCTGAAGCAGCGTACCAGGCGCCACTCCAGTGAAGGGGGGCCTCCTCCTCCTCTGGACGTCTCCCAGTGCCTCCTCCGGGCCCCCCCGCGGCCTGCGGAGGCGGACGTCGGTCGTCGGTCGTCGGTCGTCGGCTGTCGTCGGTCGTCGGTCGTCGGTCGTCGGTCGTCTGTCGTCGTCGTCGTCGTCGTCGTCGTCGTCGTCGTCGTCGTCGTCGTCGTCGTCGTCGTCGTCGGTCGTCGTCGGTCGTCGTCGTCGTCGTCGTCGTCGTCGTCGTCGTCGTCGTCGTCGTCGTCGTCGTCGTCGTCGTCGTCGTCGGTCGTCGTCCTGTCCTGTCCCCCCCTCGGAAGGCGAAGACGGGGAAAGGGAGCCTTTTGGAACCTTCTCTTCCTTCGTCCAGTAGGGCCGTCCAGCAACCAACGGAAGCCTCAATCGCTCCCGCCTCGGTTGAGGCCCAGCCGAGGCCCGGCTCGAAACGACAAGAAGGCGATGCGGGTTCCACGGGTCCACCCAACTGCATGTTGCTGAGCATCGTCTGCCTGAAGGCTCACGACACACACTAATCGATTGCGCGCACGCCACCTGAGCAGAGCATACACGCGGGGAGGGAGGATAACCATGAGGAGGAGGAGGAGGAGGAGGAGGAGGAGGAGAAACAAAGAGGGATGGGGAGGAGGGGCGGAAGGGCCTCCCCGCGTCGCGGGCAAAGAAAAGCATGGGGGGCGCGCGTTGACGAGCTCAAGGCGTCCGAAGGGACAGGCCCTTCTCGGGCCCCGAGACAATCAATCCTGTTTCTGCTCGCAGCGATGGCGATCGCACACCGCGCTCGCTGCACTGAGAGGGACCGCCACGGTGAGGGCATTGGATAAGAGCCATTGGGTAAGGAATGCAGGGCCTGGAAGGGTGGAACTCCAGTCGTGGACTGGCCATGGATAGCACCGCCGCCCTCATCACAGAAGGAATCCTCCAGGGTCCGAGGCATCCTGGGCACGTTTCTCAACGAACGCCCCCACCGTACTGGGCGAATCGCGCACAAAAGAGCGCGGAATAGGGGAGGACGGCCGCGGAGGAAAGGCAGGACGGACTGCGCACTCAACCCGTGAACGACTCCGTGTGCGGTGCCAAAGACACCACGGGCGGCTTCGAACCAGGCGACGACATCTATATCATCCACTGCTCCTTGGGCAGGCCCATCCTGAACCCAGCAGCGGTGTATACGCCAGGCCCACCTGGCCAGTCCAGGAGGGCGACCTGGACCTCTCGACCCCCAGCAGGGGAGCGGCTCCTCATCCGGAGCTGCTTCCTGCTGGCCCTGGCGTCGGAAACGGGCGTCCACGATGCCGACACTGTGAGAAGCGGCCGGCCCACCGCGAGAACCACGGCGCCGGACACCCTGAGATCCGACGGAGCCTTGCTGCGGCATCTTCGGGGATGGACAGACCCCCCTTTAGTAAAACGTGGTTTAGTGAAAGCGACCTGAGGCCCAAACCTGGCGGGCGCAAGCCTGGAAAATAACGGCCACGGCGCCATCTCGAGAACCGAAAACGGACAATTCACTAATCGACGTGTCACGGTTGGGGGTTCTGTCCACCCCCGACATCTGTGCGAGGCGGATCGAGGCGTGACGGTCTCGGGGCCCGGAGCCGGGGCCCAGACGCCCGACGTGACTTTTGCTCACAACGCCGACCCCGAGGCCTCGACCCATTCCCCAGAACTCGTTTTGCATCCCGAGTCATTTTTACTGCCCATCCCGATGCCAGATAAGGAGCCCCAGGGGCCAAACATAGTTCGCGAAGAACCTCCCGTCGCGACTTGTTCATGGCTCGGGCCCAGAGCCCAGCGAAACCGCCAGGTGCTAGAAGAATGGCAGCGCCCGGATCCCAGGGGACGGCCTGGAGGTCCGGGGGCGGCCAAGAGGGGCGGTCGCAGATCATGGCCCGCCCGAGGCACGTGCGCGGAAGAGGGGGGAGCCACGGATCGCGTTGAGAGACGAGGATCGGGCGGGTGGTAATGCGGACCACATGGGGGGGGAAGACAAGGGCCCCTCCCGGACCCCTGCTGGCTCCAAACGGGGGCCCTACGTGGTCCACTTGGGGCCCCCTTCTTCACTGCACACTGAGGACACCCCCATTACCGCCCGATCGCATTGCGAGAAAAAGAGGGGCCCATGAGGCCCGGGGAGATATCATGGCCCTCGCCCTGCTATCTCCTCCCTGTAGTCACTGCCCCCCGCTTGGCCGCCCCTGAGACCCAGTCATCGAGCGTTTCGATTTTTCCCAGGCGCGGGCCCCCGATCTTTAGACCACCTTCCTGGGACCGGTTTTCCACCCCGAGAGACGGAGAAGGGCAAGAAACCTCCGTCTCGATCCTTCGAGACGCCAGATGTCTGGAGAGGTCTGGGAGGACGGCCGAGGACCAGCAACGCCTCGGCGACCAGGCCGGACTGATGCCCCCCTAGGGTGGTTCAAAGATGGGATCCTGAGGGATGGGGTCCGAAGGATAGGAAGGGATCCAAGGGTGGATTTACATTGTTTCAGGCACCTCGTCCTTAGGACCCCATCCCTCAGGACCCCATCTTTGAAACACCGATCCCCCGTTCGACTGCACGCAAGAGAGACCCTGGGTAAGAGTGACCTTTCGTGCGCGGCCCTGGGGGGCCGCGGGTAGGCCCGATCCGAGCACGCAGGTCCGTGCTGGGGGGGACCCCTGTGCGCCCGCACCGCGGGCCACTCTGGCGAAGGGCCACTCTTACGCGAAGCCAGCCCGTGCATGTCGGGAGTGGCCAAGAGGGGGGTGTCCAAGAGGGGGGGGCGCAAATCATGACCGGCGGCATGTGCGCGGCCCAGCGGGGGGGCCAGGGACGTAATGAAATAAGAAGAGGCGCCATGAAATCTGGGGAAATATCATGGCCCCCGCCATGATATCCACCCCCCCCTAGTCATCACCCCCCTCTTTTCCGCCCCCGAGCATGGGGGGCGGTGGCCGCGCACTCCGCCGGCGGCTCCTTGCCCCTCTGCGGCCTCCGCGCAGGGGCTGGCGCCGCGCTCTGCGGCCTGGCGGGCCGGAGGGCAGGGCAGGACCCAGGCCCCCCCTCGAGTCATGAGAAATCACGACGGGAGGTTCTTGGCCGTTTCGGGCCTCGGGGGGCCCTCGCCGGGCCTCGGGGCCGTGATTTTTGGGCCTAACATACAAATTATTCACTGCCTGAAGCTCCCCATATGTGCATCTATTAGCATGGACCTGTCCACCGTGAGTGTGTAGGCGCAAGAGCTTTCGAATAGAAGCGGGCTTGAGTGTTGACGGTCTGGAAGCAAATCTGACTGTGGATGAGTTGGAGTGTGAATGAGTTGCAATAGTATTAGTGCGTCTCTGCGCATGAGCCTGGGGCCTCCTGGGGCCTCTTGAAACCTCCGGGGGCCTCCTGGGGTCTCGTGGAGCCTCCTGGGGCCTCCTGTGGCCTCTTGGGGCTTCCTGTGGCCTCCTGAGGACTCCTGGGGCCTCGCGTGGCCTCCTGGGGCCTTCAGGAGCCTCCTGGATCCTCATGGGGCCTCCTGGGGAGGATTCGTGCCCCAAGAGAGGCCTCATCAATAGGAACATACGCAAAACACTTCGGATTGAAGGCACAGGAGGGGGGCAATCTATAGGGACACGCGTACAACACCAAGGACTCGGGCCCCAGGGGAGGCCCAATCTATAGGAATCGATGTAAAACACTAAGGAGTGGATACGCAGGACAAGGACACTTTATAGAAACATACGTAAACATAAAGGATTCGCACTCCAGTGGAGGCCCAATCTATAGAAACCTATATAAAACGTCAGGGATTGGAGCCACTCCTGTGGCCTTCTGAGGCCTCCTGGGGCCTCGTGGGGGCTCCTGAGGCCTTCCGGGGCCTCCTGGTGCCTCCTGGCGTTTCCTGTGGCCTCCTGTGGCCTCCTGTGGCCTCCACGGGCCTCCTGGTGCTTCCTGGGGCCTTCTAGAGCCTCTTAGGGCCTCCTGGGGCCTCTTGAAACCGCCGGGGGCCTCCTGTGGCCTCCTGGGGCCTCCTGTGACCTCCTGTGGCCTCTTGGTGCCTCCTGGGAATTCATGCGGCCTCCTGGAGCTTCCTGGAGCCTACTGGAGCTTCCTGTGGCATCCTGAGGATCCACGCCCACGGGTCTGGCCAGCAAAACAGGCAAACCGTTCGAGACATCCTCGCAATCTGGGCCACCAGGGGCGCGATAACCAGCGCCTCGCTCGCTCAGGACATCCCAACCATTTTGGCGCGAACGGAGACATGAGATACCCCCCGGCGGCTCCCCCTTGGGGGCGCCTCGCTCGAGACATCCTCAAGATCTGCTCCGAAAGCGGAGGATGCTGGGGGCACAAACAGGCAAACCGCTCGGCCCATCCCCGCCATGTTGGTTCGAACGGAGGAGTGAGATACCCCCTGGCGGCTCTCCCTTGGGGGTGCTGAAACCCGCGCCTCGCTCGAGACATCCTCATCCTCCTCCTCCTCCTCCTCCTCCTCCTCCTCCTCCTCCTCCTCATCATCATCATCATCATCATCAGCATCATCATCATCATCATCATCATCATCATCATCATCATCATCATCATCATCATCATCAGCATCAGCATCAGCATCATCAGCATCAGCATCAGCATCATCATCACCATAATCATCATCATCATCGCCATCAGCATCAGCATCATTATCATCATCATCATCATCAGCAGCATCAGCATCATCATCATCATCATCATCATCATCATCATCATCATCATCATCATCACCATCATCATCATCATCACCACCACCATCATCATCATCATCATCAGCAGCAGCAGCAGCAGCATCAGCATCATCATCATCATCATCATCGTTGTCATCATCATCATCATCATCATCATCATCATCATCATCATCATCATCATCATCATCATCATCATCATCAACAGCGTTACCATCATCATCAGCAGCATCATCATCACCACCATCATCATCACAACCACCATCATTATCGCCACGATCATCAGCATCACATAGCAAAGCGTAACATAATGTGTCAGGTTTGGGTGTGACTGTCCTCCAAGCGCGGTGAAAATGATAACAAGAAACCCATCTTGGGATATGGGGAACAACGAACAAACAACACATCCGACGCACCACGTGCGTTGGAGTGGGAAGGGGCAGAGGAGAGAACGACACGCCACCGAGATTCCCGCTAGGGACCCCCCCCAGCCTCCTCAGCCCCAAGAGGTCGGAGGGAGGCGCCACCAAAGTTGGGAGGGTGGCAGGCTTCGCTCCGCAGAGCAGCCTTCGCTGCCTCAGAGGCTGCGGAAAAAGCACGGGCGTGTGCAACAACACGACTCGCACGCGGCGGGCCCGAGTAGCTGGGCCTCGGGGCCGTCAAACAACGACTCATGACGAAAAACTGATCCAGGGGAAGGGGTCCAGACCTCTGGGGGTCGACGTTCTGAAAAAAAATGACGTCGGGGTCTGGAATCGGTCAGCATTGGATCGGGAAGTCGGGGTGGATTGACACGTGCGTCGGAGTGGGCCGCGATTTTCTCCACACCGACGGCGCCGATGCCTTGCCGGCGTCGCCGATGCATCGGCGACGTTACGCCGATGCATCGGCGATGCGGCGCGATCCCCCGACCTTATCTACTCGGGCCCCACCTAGGAGGCCTATATGATCGCTCCCCCAGCATGCAACGCCCGAGGTGTCTGGCAAACCCCGCCCGAGTCGGCGATGTGCTTTGTTCACATCTCTTCAGATGTGCTTTGTCCACATCCTCGCGTTTGTTAGTGATTCAGGCCTCCCGGGCCCGCGCTCAGGCCCCAGGGGCATCCAACGTGGATCTGGTACGCACAACTGGCCCCGGGCAAAGGGTTTGGGGCCGCGGATTGACAACAAAAAAAACAGATCGGCCACGACGGGATGCACAACGAGCGCCACGAAAGCATCGGGCCGCACATCGGACCGCCGGAACACCAGAACCGAATCGGATCGGGCGAGCTGGATTCGACCTCGAACTGTACCGATCGGATCGAGATCGACTTTTGATGGGTGGCTCCCCGTTTTGTGTCTTCGGATCAGATTAACTCGGGCCTCAGGCGGCCGTCCGGGACGATTCCTGGCATCCTCGTAACACTCTCGACGAGGCTCGGCTGATGACAACCACCCTCTGCCCCGAAACTCTCGGTGGTCTCGAAAACCTATGGAACTGTCGGGTTCCGAAACTGCATGCGCCGAACCGGATCGTACCGGCCGGAATCGGCATTGAGGGCGTTCCGGCCCTCCTCCTCCTCCTCCTCCTCCTCCTCCTCCTCCTCCTCCTCCTCCTCCTCCTCCTCCTCCTCCTCCCCCTCTTCTCTTCTGCATGCTGTCCGCCGCACGCTCAGGGCGTTCGAGGAGGCGCAAAAAAAAGTACCCTCTCAAGAGCTAGGGCTGTCCTGGACCCCCGCGCCGGCTGTAACGAGAGGGTGTGGGGGAGCGCAGGGGTGCGCGGTACGAGCCGTCAACGGTGGGAGGAAGAAAGAGGCACGTCTCGTGAACAACAGCGGGTGTCTCGAGATTGGACCCCCACTGCTCCTCCCGCCCCGGCCAGCGGCCCGCAGCGAAAACGACGGCGATTCGAGGAGTTCACGGGAGGCGCCTGCTGAGACGCAGGCGTCGGCTCCGACGGCGGCAACGACGTGCTCAAGAGTTTTCAAGGAGCGCCTGCTGGGAGGCTGCTCTCTTGCCTGCGGCACCAGCTATGCGCCCCTCCGATCGGGAGCGATGGGCACGAGGAGCGCGCTGCGAACAGACTTGGGCCCAAGGTCATTCCCAATCACACCCCGAAAAACCCGGGGGACTCGAACAAATCGAGACGGCGGGTGTTTCGCAAAATGCCAAGTGCCCGCAATACGTCTCCGAACCCTGGGACCGACCACAACAAAAAATCAATTCCCAGGAGCGGGGACAACGGCACAGGAACCCTCATCTCGAAACAGTCGAGACGTCGGATGTTTCGGTTGCTAGAATATGCTGTCCATCAGAGGTGAATGTGGCACCGCGCGGGCTTTGCTACACACCACAGGTGTTCGCATGCTCCACAAATGGGTGCAGCAGCGCAGGCTTGCGCGCACCTCCAAGTGGACAGGCAGGCTGAGGCAGTGCGCGCATGGGCAAGGGCATACAAACATGTTGCATGCAGGCAGGCCCGAAAGAGAACCGTCCACACATAAACAAACGTGACGACGTGCAGCTTGAGCAACTGTGTCTGTACGTATGCGCGCACATCGGCGCGCATCACCGCCCGGACGTTATACCACCTCAGACGGCGGGGCGTGGGCGAGCTAGCCGCAGACACGACCGCAGGGGTACCAGGATATCGTTTCTCCTTCGAGCCTCCTCTTGTTTTCCTTCTCTTACCTGTCCGCCGCAGCCCAAGGCACTATTCCACGCCGAAGGCACTACCACGGGCGAGATCCGCCAAGGCAAAATAGCTGACTTTTCGACGCCCGAAATGGGCGCGGAAGAAATGGGAACGATGCCCAACAACACCTGTTGTCCAAAACCGACAGCGGCCGCTGTTGGGCAGGCGGCCTTCTGTCTCAACTGGACGACGTCCGCGTCGACACCGACAGCGAGTCCGGTTCAAAATGAACAGGACATGCTGTCGGTCTTTGTGCCCATATAATTGCCGGACACCTGAACGAAACCATCGTTTTGTGCGAATGTATCGCATGGCGCCGCCTGGCCCGAAAGCGAATCAATCCCCCTAAACAAAAAAAATCGCTGCTCGCGTGCTGGTGGCGCCCTTGTCGCTGCGGTTTCTGCAAAGCGCAGGGTGTGCAACGACACGGGCGAAACCTGGGCGCGGACGGGTAGCTGTTCGGCGGGCGGAAACGGAAATGGGCCCGATGAGGTCCGCAAGCCGCAAGGGCCGCACGATTCATATCGCCATATCACCAGCATGGGCCGCATGAGATGTGGGGGCCGCAAACCCCTGCTGGAAACCAACCCCCGTTTCAACTCGGTCCCGCGCCGACTAGCCGAGCAACCCGGGGAGTGCAGAGCCGACCAGACCAACCAACCAACCGACGAACCAATCAACCAACCGACCAACCAACCAGATCACCACGCGCGCACATATTTTCTGGGCACGTCCCGCTGTGAATGTTTGCGTGGGAGCGTATTAGCCTGTGGCGACTGAGCGCTCACTAGCGGCTATCTTTTGGGGTGCCCAAGTAACACGAGCAAACCGCCGAACACGTCCCCACGACATTCGCGCGAGGGGGCAAACATCATACGTCCTCGCGTTTTGTCCTTAGGGTGACAAAATGATCTGACCCAATAAGCTCGCAAACCGGTTGAGACACCCACCGCACTGCGGGCACGAAAAGGCACGGCCCATGTTGGGTTGACCAAATGCCACGCTTGCCTTATCGCGGCGACCAGACGGCTCTCAAGGGAGAAGAGTATGTCCCGCGCGCAATCTGGCCGCGAACGGGCAAGTGCGTTGCTCTCTGGCGGTTCCTTCTTGGGGTGCCCAAGTGGCACCCTTGCTATGCAGCGCTGGTTATGCGTTTTCCAAAACAGCAGCGTATGTTTTGCCAGACAAGCAAACCGCCTGGAACGTCCTCACCAGAAGATCGCGAACGGACACGTGTCCGACCCCCTGGCGGTTGTTCCTCGGGGCGCCCAAGAGCCACGCATTCGCGCGTCTGTCAAAACATAGGGGTGCCTTCTACCAAACGGCCATTCCAAGGCGGCACCTCCTTGGGGTTCCGTACTGCTACGCCTGCTTCATATCGGTGGGCCGAATGCCGCGCATGAGCGCATCAAAATACGATTGGTCTAAATATGGTTAGCTGTGGAAGAGAGAGCGACCCTGGACAATTATGTGCGAGAGCTGTGGGAGTGAGTCTACGTCGGGCGCGAGCGGGTCAAGTGTCAACGGGCTTGCTCGCGAGCAGGTCTGAGTCTCAGCGCGTCACGGCGTCAGCGAAGCTGCCACGCGCACGACGCGCGCGCGCGGACGTCGAGGGGAGAGGCGTGATAGCGTCTGCTTTGAAGCGCGCTTCCTTACCGAGGGCCTCTGAGTCCAGCGTGGGCCCCAAACTCCGACGCCGGTGCGTGCACGCCGCCGCGGATGCGCGTGACCCGCGCACCGTGCTCCCTGAGCGCGGCAGGCGTCTTGGTGCGCGCGGTGTAGCTCAAGGTCTGCCCTTTCACCTCGGCAATGCGCGCGCCGAAGTAGCCCCCTGCGCCTCCGCAGCCGAAGGTCAGCCATCTGAGCTGGGGAGCCGCCTCTGCCGCCTCTGAGCTGGGGAAACTCTGGGTCTGAGTCTGACCCCATGACCAAAAAGGCTGTCGGCATATGCACACGCGCAGGCGATTACGAACAAGCAATGCAAAGATGATGTTGCAGCAGACAAAACGTTCACGCATGCTCTCAGCAGATAGTCTTGGAGGCTGGATGGGGCATGGGGTCATTAGCTTCGCCTATGCGGCTACTTCAATTGCGATAGCGATGACAGATGACACCACAGGTGAGGCATACAGAAGTGTTCGAAACACAGAATCGTTGAGGCATGTAGCAGCCCAGGGCTGCACTATGACCACTGGGTAAAGACAACGGCCCAACATCCACGTGCATGTAATGTTCGCAAGCCTCTGTCCGTGTGCAATCTTGGGCACCGCAATGCGTGCACGCGAATACACGACGCACGCAAGCAATCAAGGGCGGCCGTGGGCTCGTAGAACTCTCCCCCAGAATGATCAGGGAGGCCTGTTCCGCTGCACCTTCCCGCCCAGAAGCCCTCCCGCCCCAGGCCCTCCGAACCCTTCGTTCCCCAAGAATCCCGCGCCGCCCAGGCCAAAGGCACCCGTAAACGGAGGGCATCGCAGGCAGGGGCGTCGACGGGCACCCGGGATGAGGAGGCGGAGGAGCAGGAGGAGGGGCAGGAGGAGGAGAAGGAGGAGGAGGAGAGGGAGGATGAGGATGAGGATGAGGAAGAGGAAGAGGAAGAGGAGGAGGAAGAGGAAGAGGAGGAGGAGGAGGAGGAGGAGATGGAGGAGGAGGAGGAGGAGGCGGAGGAGAGGGAGGAGGAGGCGGAGGAGGAGAAGGAGGAGGAGGAGAGGGAGGAGGGGAGGGAGGAATACGAGAAGGAGGAGGAGGTGAGGGAGGAGGAGGCCGAGGAGAGGGCGAAGGAGGAGGAGGAGGCGGAGGAGAGGGAGAAGGAGGAGGAGGGGAGGGAGGACGAGGAGGAGGGAGGAAGAGAAGGAGGATGAGGAGGAAGAGGAGGAGATGCTGACGGAGGAGGAGCGTTCCAAAATCAAGCTTGCCGCCTCTTCGTTCGAGCTGCAAGCTGAGTCGCAGGCCAAGATGAGGCGCCTGGCCCTGTAGAGTGGTCCCAGAGCGCAGTCGTGGCATTGAATTCTCTGATGGGATGCGCGCTGCCAGTCATGCCAGGCAAACTCGTGTTGCACCAGCGCGCGTTAGGCACGGCAAGCTGCTCTCCTTCGGACGTCAGCTTAGGCGAACACAAATGCATCACATGGCCCGGTCGGCCATTCTATCGTCTGCGCCCTACGGCCATCGGGTCGTGGGCACGCGGCGAGGCGCAGGTAGACGCAGGACACAGATAAGGTCGATCCTGTGTATAAGCTCTGCACGGGCCCTCTGCTGGCCCTTTCCTTGGCCGCCCGGGATGCCTGGCTTCGTGCTTCGTGCTTCGATTTTCCAAGGAGGCATCCAGGACGCCTGAACTAAACGTTGTGACCACAGCTCACCTCGGAAGAATACGCGTGGCCCTTTCAGCGCGTGCGGGGCCGCAGCGCTGAGGCTAGACTTTCGGATGCAGAGGCACCAGTGGTCGCACGCCTCGACCTCTCGCCTCGCCCTTGGGATGGTTTTGGATCGGGTGGAATCATGGGCTTGGAGGCGTGTCTCAGACCATTTGGAGTGCCCAGACTTCGAGCAAGGAGTTGTGTTGCACCGCCTCCGCCTCCGCCAGCTTGTCAGAAGCCAGACGATTTCGGCTCAGGGTGCTGCTTACCTACGTAGTGTCGCGTCAGGGGGGGCAATGGCCTCAGCAGGCAATATGATCTGAAGCTCTCCAACGCGTGGCAGTGTCAAGCGTGTGTACACTGTTACTGCCCCCATTCAGCACAGGAGCCTCTCTTGCACGCGTCAGGCGGAAGATTGCGGGGCCACGCTCGCCTTCGCAGCCAGGCCTGCGAGCGGCCTCTTCCGAGCCTCCTCGCTGAGAGACTGGTTGCGCTGCTTGCCGTTCTGCCCCCTGCCCCTTGGCCTCCAGGGCTGTGACTTCTCGGGGGTGGCTCCTTGCCAGGACATGCTTTTCTGGACGACAGTTCGCGTGACCCCTTTTTGCCGACGGCCCCGCAAGAACTGGGCTGGGCGTGTGTTCAAGCCTCTGGAAATAAGTTCAAGGCTGACGCAATTTACGGTTCCGTACAGCACCCCGCTGCGGACATCGACTGGTTAAAGCTGTGCCGTTTTCCAAGGTCTGTGTGCTTTCGTTCCCCAGCAGCGTCGTCTACAGTGACTCGGGCGTCGTCGTAGATTAGATGTTTAAGCGAGGTCCTGCCAGGACGTGCTCTTCTAAGTCTGCGTGGGCAGAAATGTGGAGCATGGTGTGGCAACATATCGAGGACAAGGAGGGTGAAGGCTCTTCAGTTGGTCAAAGTCACGGGTCACGCCACGCGCGCCGCAGTCGAGGCAGGCAGGGTCGAGGCCTTTTACAAAGCCATCAACGATCTTGCAGATCAGTATGCCAAGCAAATTTTAGATTTCTCTCGCTTTTCCTGGGCGCTTCGGCCACATATTGAGCAGACGGCCACTGTTCTCCATGAGTGCGCCAATTGGGTAGCCGACTCGGCCTGTCATGGTCGCGTCCGCCGCCCCATCAGCAGGCGAGCCGCGAAACTTCACGCGCCTCGGCGTGGTGTTCTTCCGCCCCCGCCGCCCAGCACTCCACGTTCGTTGCTGCAGGTGGACCTTGCTTGCAACCGTGTTGCGCAAGAACAGGGGCGGCCTCATGTTAGACATTCGTTTCGCCTGGCAGCGTTTCGCTTGGCTGAGACCAGAGTCTTGTGTTTTGCCTGCGCCAACTGTGGCACTGCAAGCACGGGTACTGTCCCTGCTCTATCTTCTCCGTGCGCTAGCAGATCACTTCCTGGCTCGTGGGGATCGCGTGCGTTGGCAAATGCAGCACGGGACCGATATCAGGTGAACAAAAACTGCTTCGCTCTCGACCAACCGTGGCGAACACGTGACCTTGCGCGCGCGGTCTCCGAGCTGCTTGCCATCCGCGCGCAAGGCGGCAGTGGTGCGGTGAGTTCTCCCTCCCCTGCTGCGCCTGGCGCCCTTTCCGGCGAGGCATCAGCACGCGAGACTGCCTGAGATTGTCTCTCGGGCAAGACGCGGGCCCTGCCCGCTCCTGTTCAAGGCGGCGAAAATCGAGCGTGTCCGAAGTGCTGCGTCCAGAAGTGGGAGGAACAGTATGAGGAGGAGGAGGAGGAGGAGGAGGAGGAGGAGGAGGAGGTGGAGGACACGGACGGGGAGGAGAAGGAGGGGGAGGAGGACAGGAGCTGGGTCGGAGGAGGAGGTGGAAGAGGAGGAGGAGGAGGAGGAGGAGGAGGAGGACAGGAGCTGGGTTGGAGGAGAAAGCGGAGGAAGAGGAGGAGAAGGAAGAGGAGGAGGAGGAGGAGGAGGAGGAGGAGGAGGAAGAGTCGGGTTGGCGGAAGACGAGAAACCCCATCCAAGGCGTACCTGACACGTCGAGGACACTCACCAGCTTCTGGAGCTGCCCACAACAGGGAGGGCCTTGCCAGGTTCCCCCGCAATCTGCTGCACCCCCTCTCCGCTCTCATGTCAGCAGCGCAGCAGTCTTGGGGAGTGGGGAGGTCTACGGGAGAGGGGAGATGGAAGAGACAGAGTGACAGAAGGGAGGCCGAAATTTGGGACGGTCGCCTGCCTACGAATGGGCCAGTCCAAGGAGAGCAAAGAGGCAGGGGCAGGAAGAGGGGGCGACCGCGCGTCGCGCGAGTGAGGGAATGGAGAACTGGGGGGAGGACATGGGGGGGACTGGGAGAAACGAGCCAAAGAGATGGCGGGTTGGGAGCGGGGGAGGGGGGAGGGGGCGAGGGGGGTTCCGAGAAATCCGCTCGGACCTGCGACACGGTGTGCTCATGTTGGCGTTTCGTCTTGGGCGGCACGGAGACGCCGCGAGCTCGCGCCTCGCGGGATGCCGCGAGCGTCCGCCAGCTAGTTTCTAAGAGCGGCGGCGCGCGCCTCCGGCGGGAACTCCGGGTAACGCGCCGACAGGAGCAGGTCGACGAGGAGGAGGAGGAGGAGGAGGAGGAGGAGGAGGAGGAGGAAGAGGAGGAGGAGGAGGAGGAGGAGGAGGAGGAGGAGGAGGAGGAGGAGAAGGAGGTAAAAGGAGACGGAGGAGATGGAGGAGGTAGGAGTGGGAGGGAGGAGACGACAGAAGGAAGAGGAGGAGGAGGAGGAGGAAGAGGAGGAGAGAGGAGGAGGAAGAGGTGGCTGGAGAAGAACGATGGAGCAGGGAGGGAGAAGGGGGGACCCCTCCTCGAGCCGCAGGCATGTGCCCGCGGCGAGCGAGTGGCAGGACCGGTCAACATCGGACAGCGAGATCGTATCGGACCTGAACATGCGTCGGGTCGGACTGCCATGGGCCCGAAGTGGAGATGGAGTCGGGTCGGCCGCGCCAGGATGCACAACAACGCCGATGCAAACAGTGGGCCGCGCCAGATCGTCAGAATATCGGAGTCGAATCGGATCGAGCCAGCCAGAGTCGACGTCGAATCGGATCGATCGCACCGACCTGCACCCTAAATGGAGACGAGCGGGGGGGCGGGAGGGGGGTGGCCTTCCGAGAGGGGCGCGGGGTGAACTTTTTCCAAGCGTAGGAGATGGCGTCTGGAGGGGGGTGGCCTTCCGAGAGGGGCGCGGGGTGAACTTTTTCCAAGCGTAGGAGATGGCGTCTGAAAGTAGCTGCTTGCTTCTGCTGTGACGAGAGAGGAGGGCCCTGCCCCCCGATAGCAGCGGGCCCCGGACCCCCTGGGAGACGCCGGGCATCATGATCGAGCAGGGAGGGAGGAGAGAAGGGCAGACAAGGGACAGTGACGAGCGAGTCCCTGGGCCTCCGCCCAAAGCCCACGTTCCGGGGGCGTGGACGCGAGCTGTGGAGGTACGGAAGAAAATCTTTGGCCGACCTTGGGGGCGCACGCTCCCAGAAGCTGGGTCCAGATGGATGGCCCGGGAACGGGGACGCGAGTCGGGGAAGAGGAGCGCGGGGGTGCAGATTAGCGGGACGTGCCGACATAGGCCTCGCAGACTCAGCGGAAGATGCGCCAGCGCCTGTGCTTCGTGACGTTCGGCTTCTGCTTGGTGTAGTTCTCGTGCAGCATGTCCTTCAACCGAGGCGGGGGCTGGCGAAAAAGTCAAACGAGCGACGAACAAAAACGGGCCCTATGCACTCTGACATAGCGACCTTGCGCAGCGGCTTACGCGGGCAACCAACGTGGCATGCCACATTGGAAGCGAGAGCGCTTACGCGCGACCCTACGTGGGCAGCTTACGCGCGAATCTCCGCGCAATGGACCCCTGCTTTCTCCCGCCGCTCACATGCCAAAGGGCCAATCTCAGGGGGGTGGGGGGCTCGGAGGGAGGGGGGCGCCTTCGGGGACCGTCGGGGGGGCTTTCGAGGGGGACTTTGAGGGACACCTCGGCAGGCTGCTCGGGCCCGCGGGACCCCTGTCCTTCTGCACGCGGGGCGGCTGTGGCTCCGCGGAGACGGGCGGCCCCGAGTCCTGGCGCTCGTGAGCCGTGGCGTCAGGGAGGAGCCCAGCACCCCTGCAGCGTCGGCACGCAGCTGCTGAGACGAAGCGCGAAGACTCTGGCCCTTCGGACTAAGATTTCCTGATCGATTGATGATGAACTTCCAAGTCTGAGCTCAATGAATATTGTTGATCTCCCTTTGTCTGGTGCGCACTGTGTTTTTGCAACTGAAGTCCCCTCCCTCCCCTGACGCTCGCACAATGTGCTTGAACAGGGAACGTCTCAAGCCTCGAGCTAGAGACCCCCTGGCAATTTACTGGAGACTTGCTCTCTTGCCTTAGACTTTTCTGGACTTCATTCAAGGAGCGGGCTGTCGAAGCCCAGGAATCGCGCTATCGGTTGGGAATGCCTGACAATTGATTCAAGAGTCGCACGCTCGCCAATAAGGAATTACACTTCTGCCCAGGACGCTCTCCCATTCTAACTAGGACTCGCGCTCTCGCATGGGACTTCCTCACGATCCACCCAAAACTCACGCAATAATGTGACGCCCGCCAGACCCGCCCGCTAGGGTCCGCCAGCCCGATCCGGCCATCAGGTCCGCCCGTTCGTTTGCAGGGAAATCCGCCTGCCCGTTTTGATGTCCCGCCGGCTCTGCCCGCCCGTTTAGGCTCACCCGCCTGGCCAACCCACTTTAATTCCCCGCCCACCCGACCACCCGCTAAGGTCCGCCCTCACGCTTGCCTGGAAGACCGCCTACCAACTTTCATGTCCCACCCGCCCAGCCCGCCCGATAGGGCCCTCCCGCCCGCCCCGCCCATTAGTGTCCGCTTGGCCGACCCGCCCGTCAGGGTCCACTGGCTCGACCCACCCTTTCAGGTCCGCCCGCCATATCTGCTTCTCTTACCCTGTCGGGGTTTACCCAGCAGCTGGCAAAACAAAGGTGCCCCCCAAAAGGGGGCACACTCTCAGACGAAGAGGGGGGTGTCGGGGGTTTGGTATATATCTCTCTCTCTCTTCCCCTCTTTATGTTCTTTGTTTTCTCACTCTTTCTCTATATGTGTGTGTATACATACCTGATCAAAATGCGAAAACGCGGGCAATGTACCACGAACTTTGTTAAACGCTGGTTGCTGTTATTTCCGTACCGTCTGAGCCTGGGCTGTCGGGGACTACGCTCTAAGTGGTATGACACGTTCGAGCAGTATGGAGTATGGAAGGCTCGCACAATTTCCTCTAAATGCTTATCGCTGTGTGGGTATGGAGTCGTCCGTCAAGGACTGCTCCCTTCTGAAGAAAACCTTTATGTACTCATTGATCTGGGATTCTTGTGGTATCGGTTCCATTCTCTAGGGCTCTAGAACTTCGAATTTCTCAAGGCCAGGTGACACAAACAAGATGAGAGGAATGCTAACACCTGAATGTCGTAAGTTCCTTCCTGGGCAGAGGTCAGGAGCTGAATAATACGGGCGACGATGGGTGAGCAATGAAAACAAACACACTAACACGTAACCACCACCTTTCGGATCTCCACGCGGATTGCTTGGATCTGCGCTGAATCCTCCTCCCTGGCGCGCGGAGAGCGCCAGGGGCGGCGCCTGAGGCGCCGCCAGAGGGTTCAGTCCGGAATTCAGGCAGCAGTCCAGCTGCGATGCAAACATGTAATCATAAATATTGGGAACCATTGCAAACATGCGATGTGATTCCAAAATAGAGACGCTGTCCTTCAGGCTGGAATCCAGCGCCCCGTCGCTGAGCTTACGGGCGAACCAAAAGGAAGACCTCACGAGCTCATCGAAGGCTGCCGCTGGGACCTTGTGGTAGATCACCTCAGCTCCGCGGCTTGCCACGCCGAGGGCGCTCGACCCCAACCCGCCCACTGAGAAAATCTGGAGAGCCAGAAGGACGCAACGGCACGGACTGACAGCAATGCGCTCCGACTGCCCCCTTACCTCGCTTACCTGCACTGCCCCCTCCGCCTCACGCGGCATGCCCCCAGAAAGGCTCGGTCTGCCTGCGGATGCCTCCGCCGGCCCTGGCCCGGCGGCTGCTCTCTCGCTCTCCGCGCGCGGAGCCCAGGAGCTCGTGTGCGCAGCGCCCCAGCGCTCTGTACGCCTCGCCGGGCGTGAGGCGCACGCGGTGTGCCTGCGCAGCGCAAGCTTGCGGCTCACGGCGTGCCTCGTCCGCGGCAAGCCTCCCCTCCGGGCTGCGGGCGCTCCTAGAGTGGGGCTCGCCGGCGCCGCCCAGGCCCAACGCCGCCTGCGCGCGCCGACGCGCAGGCTGGGGCACGGGAGCACGAGCAGCGCCTGCTCGACCTTTCCGACGCCCAGTGCTCGCGCGACCAGCTGCGGGCTGCCCGCCGCTGACGGACAGCAGGATCCGCTCGGCGGCCGGCAGTCGGCCATGCGGCGCCTCGCCCGATGAGCCAGCGGCGTGCGCCAGCTGCGAGGGGGCATGCCTGGTCGAGCGGGCACTCGCGCCGTGCTCTGCGCCGCGGGCCCGAGCACGCGCGGCCACAGCGCAGACTGGGAGGAGATCGTCATCACGACCTTGGACGCCGACGTGGGCGTGGAATTCCAGACGGCGGGATGTGCACCTCCTCGCCCGGCTTTCAGCCCTGTGGGCATTCTGACCAGCGCATCTGCCGTGACGGGGCACTTGGCGGCGCCAGATGTGGGGATCACAGGCCACGAGCCCCGCGGCCACGCTCGCAAACACACACCGCGCAAGGGCCGTGGACGCGTAAGTGTGCGCGAATGGAGCCGCACACACACACATTCACACACACACACACACGCACACACACACACAAGCACCGAGGCTCTCGAGAAGCAGGGCACTGCCAGCGGCCCAGTCACCTTCTCCTGCTCTGGCCTGCCCTATCCTGAATCCCGCACCCCTCGGGACCGTGCGGCCCTTGGCACGGCGGACTGCAAGGCGTCACGGCACGGAAACGCACATCAGGGATCGGCCCATGATGGCGAGGAGATTGGTCGGGACCAGGCGGCTGGCAGCGGGAACGTGTGGCAACACCCGCCTGTCCTCATGGGCACAGACGGCGGCAAGCCCGAGGGGCCGGTAGACCCGCCAGGGTGCATGGCTACCCTGGCGCTGGGGCCAGGGCTGGGCACCCCGCCAGCATGGACCGTGGGACCCGTCTGAGTCGAGGCTCGTGCGCCTGTTCCACGTAAGTGCCTCAACCCTCTGGCCTTCTCTCCCGATCCTGTCTCTCCCTCGCTTGTCGCTTGGCCTGTGCTGTCTTCGTGCTTCGGTCTATGCCGTCCGCGTCATAGCCGTCTTCCCGACTCGACAGGCACTGGTCGTCCTTCGGCCTGTGCCCGAGTCTGGGGCTGATCTTCTCCACGGTCAGGGCCATGGCAGTGGAGACCTCGTCTTCTCAGTGCCTGCTTGTTCTTCCTCCTCGCCCCCCCTGTTCTCTCCCCCTCGCCTGCCTGAGGGGAGGGCAACTGCCCTGCCCTACGGTCGCAACGCTGTCCTAAGGCACCCTAAGTAAGGAACGAGGCCCCCTTTCCCATAAGTTAAACTTCGATGTCCCAAAGAAAACCAAAAAGGAACACCTAAGAGAAACCGTGAAACGGTTCAGGGACACTGAGCCCCTCCCCAAGAACAGGGTTCCCCCTTCAGCGGCCCGACTGTACTGCCCTCCGCCCGAGTTGTTGTGCCCTGCGGAGCCCGAGGAGTCCGAGCCCCAGCGCGGATCCAAGAGATCCGCACCGACCTCCGATCGTTCGTGTTCGTGCAGATGTTTCCTCTCCGATGTCTCCCCCCTTCAATGTCTTGGACAACCTTTCCCAGGAGCCTTCGCGCTACACTTCAGAATGTGCGATCGTTCCGCTTCTATTCCACGCCTGGCGCAGCTTATGGCCAACGCGCGCCGCGCGCCGCCAAGGGCCTCGCGCCATCATGGCACAACGGCCGCGGGGGCACGACAACGACGCAGACGTGACGCGGCAAGGGCACGAGCTCTGTGAACAAGGAAAGGTATAGCGTAACGCTAGATAAAAATCAAGCGGCATGAACATAAACTTTCGGAGATCCGCGAGGATTTCGTGGACCGGCGCTGGAGGCGCCGCCAGGGGGGACCATCGCCGGTCCGAAAAATTCGCGCAGAGCTCCGAGAGTTTGTGTTTAGGTCGTTGTTTCTTTTCTCTTCTGCTTCAGAACGCGAAGGCCCTCACTTGCTGCCGCCGCCGCAGTCGACGGCGATGTGGGCGCGAACTTGCCAACGACGGCGGCGGCGCCGCCGCCGACGACGACGACGAAGATGGTGGCGGCGAAGACGACGACGACGCCTCGTGTCCGACCAAGTCTAGCTGCGGATTGCGGACACGCTCCAAACTGAGGAGGCGGGCGCTCTTACCCTAGAGGAAGAGGCTCGGCTCAAATCTTCTCGCGCCAGTGCCGCCGCCCTACCTCTCCATCGTCAACAACCGTCGTGGGCACATTGCTCACAGCACCCTGAGCCCCTTGGTTAGATTAAGGACTAAGGGTTGTTGAGCTCGATTGAGCCAGATTGTGCCGGATTCCAGGCTGGGGTCAAGCCGAATTGAAAGGGATTTACCTAGATGAAATGGGATCTAGCCAGTTTGGCCAGAGTAGGCAACTTTTCGACGAGGGATATACCAGCTCCGATTCTAAGTGCAAACTCCAAGGAGTTGCATCCTGACCCTGAGTGTCCTCACCTTCTTCCCCCCTCCTCTTCCCCCCCCAGGAAGGAAACCGGTATAAACATGAACTGTTGACTAATGGCGTGGATTTCGTGGATCTGTTATGGTTCTTCTTTGACCTCTTCCCCCCCCCACCCCGCCCAAAGTGCGGGGAGTGTAAACGACCACAACCACATCGAGGACGCAACTTGGGGGACGTCTTGTGCATGCCAACGCTCGTCTGAGCACCAACACTACCTCCGTACTGGCTGTGGTTGATGCGGCGTCCTGGAAGGGCCAAGCCGACCACAACCACAACCAAAAAGCTCATGTCGAGGTCGGCGGGTTCTCCCCCGAGGGGCCCTCCCGAAACGTCCGCTTAATTTGCGGACAGAGCCCCCCTCGCAGCGCGCCCCATCGTGTGGCAAAAAGTACATGGCAAGTGCTTGCTGATAACCAGCAGTCGGATGAACATCTGCTGTGCGTGCGCAAGGGACGGCTCGGGGCACCCATGGCGAAGTCGAGGGTGGAGGACGAGAAAGGGGCTGCGGCACGCGGAAGAGTGCAACATCATTTGGACTTGCCATCGGAAGTGTTTTCTTCCACGGGTCCGCTGGCACCCGTGGCAAAACATTAACCTCGCTCGCTGTGGCGCACAAACGGAATATCATAGAATTCTTAAACATCGTGTGTCGCTCGTGCGTGAGGACCTCGTGTATTGCACAGTCGGGTTCTTTTAAACTCCGTTCCTCTGGGGCACACTGTAGGCGGCAGCCTTACACTTCACTCTCTTGGTGCGCTTACTCGGCGGGTGCAACTGGCCAACGAAACCGAAGCCAGATGAACAACGCATGCCGTATCCTAGGGCACGCTGCGGGACATCATGCTGGGAAGCTTCGGCCTGAGAAAGCCTTTCTTCCAGATCTTCCAAAAGGCTTCTCACGACCTCGACCGACCGTCGGGCCGAACGATTATTCTCAGATGTTTGCCCACCTCGTGGATCTTGACCCCTCCGGCAATCACCCCTGCCTCCTCGAATCGCCTGCTCACCCCCTCCTTCGCGAACTTCCCAAATCCGCCATGCAAGATTCTTAGCCGTCTTGGGAACATGCGTGACGGCGCCTGCGGCTTCAGCGCTCCGCGCCAGAAGCATGGACATCCCAGGAGACCTCGATGCGCGCTGGCGGCACAAGCTAGATCATCACCGAATCATGCGGATGGCACAGGGATGATCAACAGGAACTTAATACTAACCTTGAGATTAAGAGCCAGAAACAACACATACAATAATCTCACACACAAGGGTTTTGGCACCACCAACGGTACAACGCATGTGCACCCATGCCACTGGATCCTCGGCGATCCGAACCAGGGTTGATGCACGGCCGTGCTCGAAGGTGCAGTTGAAAGGTATGGTGTGGCAGCGCTGTCGGTGGCGACAAGATCCCAAGCTCCGCTACCAACAGACATTACATGGTGGTTTGGAACAGCCAAACCACCATGCAACGTCAGTTTGTTCACCCGTTGGCAGCAGCACGCGTCACGGCAACAGAACGCAGTAGCGCGCGCGGGCACGCAGGGCCGGCGATGTGGCTGGCCAGCTGCCAGCGCGATTTCGGCAGAAGTGTCGAAATCCACGTGGGATCGTTGTGGGCGCGGTATCCAGCGCAGCTGCATCGCACTGCCAGGCGCCGCGGCCTTGCGTTTGCAGCGCCAGGCCCCGCGCGATCCTCGAGGCGGGAAAACAAGCTCTACACAAAAGATCCGCGCGTGCTATTGTGGGGCTGGCGAAAACTATCGCACGCAAAGGAAATCCCTTCGCGCGCCCCCCGCATTGGCAATGTAACCAGACCGCGCGCAAAGGAATTGCAGGAGACTTCGTGGTGCCCAAAGGAAGTACAGCAACGCCCTTTCGGTTGCGCTTTTCACGCGCGGTGACAGCTCCGAGCTGGAAAGGAAGGGGGGGCGGGGCAAGGCAAAGCAGGGAAAGAGGTAAAGGAAGAGGAGGGCGAGAGAGAAGAGAATGAAGCAACGGAAGGAGGCCAGGATGCGCGCAAGCGAAGCTAGCACTGCGCGCCGAGGCAGTTGTTCGTTCGTTCGTTTGGCCGTGCGGCATATGAACAGAAATAATTGTTTGCTGCCTATCGAAGGGACTTCTTGGG